ACTACGTGGGAGTCCAGCGACATAGCCATTACGCTAACTGCTGGTTCCCAGGGCGATCTTTAATTTACCCTAATAATGTAAAAAGCACAAGTGAGCACCGAGAAAGTAGCAAAGTTGATGCTGCTAACTTCCAGAGTGAGCTTTTTGTTAGCCACATTTTGAGAGTGACATTAAAAAACAATGACTCCAATGAGAACTCAGTCAAAATATTCACAATTATCCAGTGATAATTAGCCATTTGAAATAAGAGTTTACAGCTACTATCTTTAATGACAAACTTCACACTTAAATACACGTCATTTGGTGATATTTTAGTTCTTGATCACATGAAGATATTAAAAATCATTGTTTAGAGGCTGGCAGGTGGCATGGGGATTAAGGTGCTGGACTCCTACATGGCTGACCACGGTTTGAGTTCCAGACCTGGCGACCTGGCGGCTCGCTTTCTCACTTTCCTCCTCTCTCCCTCTCTGTCTCTCTCTGTCAAATTAGAAAATAATAAATAAAATTAAATTAAAAAATTCTTTAAAAAAATCATTGTTTAGGGCCAGCAGGTGGCGTGGTCATTAAAGCACTGGATTCCCATGTGGCAGATTGTGGTTTAAGTCTCAGACCCAGTGGCTTGAAACAAGCTGAGTGCATGTGTGTGCATGCCCAAAATCCCTGAGCGGAGAAGGGATTGAGGTATGGCCATCTCCCTTACGGGTAATTTCTCACTTCCTCCCTTTCTCTGGCAAGTGCACACACCCTATGGCAAAAAGCTAAGGGAAAAAAATGGTTTCTTTTCTTTTAACCTAATTTTTGAATTTCCATTTTTATACGAGTTATATGAACATGTATAGAATTTATAAATAAATGAAATATACATATATTAGGAGAAGAGCTCCCACATGTTTTTCCTGCTATGAGTGTAGGATCACTTTGGAGATAAGTGGTGTTGGCCATTTATTGTCAAGCTGCTGGGGTCCTTAAGTTTCAGGTAAGATCAGATGACCATATTACATACAGGAGAGCAGAAGCCCAGAGAGAAAGGGCCTTAGGGAGCACAGTGCTAGTTAGGAATGGCTCAGAGACTCTTTTAATTTCCAGTACAGGGCTCTTATCTTTCTTAAAAGACAGGGTCTCTCTGTCACAATGCTTCTGCCTCAGCCTCACATCCAGGACTACAGGAGTGTGCCACCATGCCTGGCTTTAGGCTGTAACAGGAATTGGACTCAGGGCTCCCATGTGGCCCCAGCCTGTGAAGCACAGCATCTTAGCAGCATGTGCCACTGAAGCTGGGTCCTCGCATGCTTTTCTTTTATTTTCTTTTTTTTTGATGGAGAATTTTTGCTATAGAGTACACGCGCTCGCCAGAGAAACAGGAAGTGAGAAATCACCCCACTGGGGGATGGTCACACTGCAATTTCTTCTCCATTCTCTTCTCGAGATTTTGGGCACACATGCATGTGCACCTGGCATGAGTTTTAAGCTGCCAGGTCCAGGACTCGAACTGCAGTCGACTATGTGGGAGTCCAGTGATGTAACCATTATGCCATCTGCTGGCCCCTCCAATGCTCTTCTTAACCGGCCCAGAGTTGCCTCTCTATATAGAGAGATACTGAAGGAGGAAATCTGTGCAAACACTAGAAACTCAAACAGAATTGAAACCTGTCAGAATAGAGCCCAAATGTCTGTAGCCAGCAAGCTACTGAGACCCACTTATGTCTTCTATACTTACAATAACTCCTGGGTAATAACCTCCAACAGTCACGTTCTGGGTCCTGGTGGTTGCAGCAAGGCCCACCGTGAGAATTAACACGGACACAATAAGCAAAGTCACGGTGACATAGATGGAATTTCGTTTCCTCCGATTGAAGGCTCCTGAAAGCATAGGGAGAAACTAAAATTGATCATTTCAGCCAGGGAAAGGAGCAACTAGGGGGGCCAGCAGGTGATGTGGTAGTTAAGGGCACAGGACTCCCACATGGCTGACTGCGGTTCAAGTCCCGGACCTGGTTGCTTGCTTTTTCACTTTCTTTTTTTTCTCTCTCTCTCTTCTCTCCCCCTCATTCTGTCTCTCTTTGGTCAAATTAAAGTAAATAAATAAATAAAGTTAAATGAAATAATTCTTAAAAGAAATAAAACTAGGAAGGTTTTCCTTTCCTGATCCTATTGGGAACTGAGGTTATCCCTGAAGCGGAATTATGGGGAAGAGATGGAGCTTTAGTTTCTGCAGTCTTCAGGTACTTCTTTTATAACAATATATAAAATCTTGAAGTAATATATCATTCGGGAACTAAACAAAAGAAGAAATTTCACCAGTTACAAAAAAAAAAATCAAACAAATTGTTGTGTTTTGGCATTCTATAGAAGATGTGTTCTATCCACTTTGCAGAGTGTTTTTGTTGTAGGCCAAATTATAAGGCATACAATAAATGGGAAGTATATGTGTGGGGATATTAAATGAAACTATTTTAAAGCCAATATGCAACTAAGAAGGTTTCTTCCCCCATAAGCTAGAGATATGAAATTTCATTTTCAGTGTAAATATCAGAATCAAGCCAGATACTGGAATTTTTTTTTCCATTTACTTCTGACATTTGCCCCCTCATGTATAAACTTTAAAAAGGTATGTTGGCAAGATTTGTCACAAAACAAATGTGTGTAATAAAGTAAGTGTTTAGAGACCGTTAGTCCACAAAGATGTGTATCAGGAAGGTAGATGAAGAGGATTATAACTTATATACATTTAGGCTTATGTGATGGTGACATAAATATAAATGATGAGGAACGCATTCTCCTATCAGGGCTTTTCAGACGTGTTAGTGCAAACCAATTTTTTTTTTTTTTTTTGGAAAACAGGCTTAAGTCAAGTAGAAAAAAAATGATACCTAGGCTTGCTTTTCAATTTACTTTTTTTTAAAAGGAACTGAGCACTTCTCCATACTCTGCAGGCACTGCTCTAGTATGGGGAGGGGGTCCTTGACAGGAAACACCAGGAGAGAGTTACCCTCTAGGAGTTCTGGAAAAAATAAGCAATGCTGTGAGAGTCCAGTTCTCTAGCGGAGTGACGGGAGGGCGGGCATGAAGCACTGGGGAGCCTGGTGATGGGCCGCCCACCTCCCCACCTCGGAGTTCCTAAGACCCTGTCACTCTGGGAGGCCTCAGGCAGCCTCGGGAAGCAGTTGTCAGCGAAGCCGCCCAGACTGCACCACTGGGAGGGAGGGCAGCTGGGAGGGAGGAAGGGGGAGGTAGGCGAGTAAACCAGGCGAGACCCAGGAGGCCCGGTGGTGGTGAGAGGGAGGGGCCATGGCTGGCCTTGCAGCCCCTGCAGGTACCCTCTCCTGTAGGGAAGAAAAGCGCCAGGAGTGCCACCCTGGGTTAGCCCCTCCATCCATCTTGTCTTCCCCGGTGCGGTCCCTGCTGAAGGCTCCAAGGAGATGGGAGGGGCTGGCGGTCTCCCCTGACGTCAGCCTCGAAAGTGAGGGCCGTGACTCATCAGGGTCATCTCTAATACGATACTATTCTAAGACCGTTTTACATTGACATGTAGCCGTGGTTTGGGCTTTTAGAGGCACCTACATACTCTAGCGCCACATCTCACCCTGGGAGGAGAGGTAAGGAGAGTTGGGAAATGAGGCTTCTCTCCAGTGAGACCTGAATCTAGCCTCCATGGGGGGGGGGGGGGGGGGGGTGGGT